AGAGACAGGTGGGCTGGGAGCGGGGCCCGGCTGAGCCCCCGGGCCGGATCCCCAGCAAAGCGTTTGGGTGGTGAAACCAGAGGCGGGGAGGTCGCGGCTTTGGCCGGCTGCCTCTCACTGAGGCCGCTTTAATTTTATTTTCATCTTGCCAAGTGCCTTCTGGTGTCCGGGCAGTTTCAATTTCTGTTCAGCTCCTCCATCCCGGCTACAAGCAGCATAGGTAGAGGCTGTGTGAGATTTTACGGGCTTTAAAACCGAATCCATGTTCCTGACAGCTACAGCTTCTCCAGGGAAACGTTTTTTTTAAGCGGAAAATAAGCCAAGTCACTGTCTTCCAACAGGTTATCGGGAGCGTTTAACCAGGCTCACCTCCTAACTTGCTGTTTGCACTGGAGAGGCGTATTGACATGAAAAGTAAGGAATGTATTAGCAAATACTGCTTGGCCCTGGGGCAGGAGGCACTGCACAAGGACAGGCGTCTGCTGAGGCTCTGGCACCTCGGTCGAAGCTTTCGGCGAGACCCTTGCGCTGCCCTGGGCCTGAAGGCCGTTGCTCCCGCGGGAGGTAGAATGTGAACGTGGCGTGGTGGCCTCTGGAAACAGAGGTAAGGGCAGGCAGCGTTTTCTCGCAAAGCTCAGGCGCTTGTGGTTCGAGCTGTGTTTAGGCTTTAAACCCCTTCTGTTCCAAGTCCCCTCCTCTGTTTTGCTTGAGGTTGGTTTTGTGGGATCTCGCAGTGGAAAGCAGCCAGCCCGGGTCTCTGCCCCGCGCCTGGCGCCGGGCTCTTGCCCTTTGCTCTGCGCTGGGGCGTGCTGCAAAGCCGGGCTGGCGGCTCGGCCCAAAGCACAGCTCGCCGGTGTGGAAGGAAACTGCTGAGGTCGAAAACTTTAAGCATGGAGTCTGAGCTCCTTCTCTGATGATCGCTCGTCGCTTGGATGTGGCAGCTCTAGGTCTTAAGACGGTTTCAGGCAGCTTTACCGGGGGTGTGCACAGACACGTGCCGGGTGCCGGGTGCCGGGTGCTGGGCAGGTTTGGCAGCGGGACTGGAGCCCCTGAGCAGCCGGAGCCGGCGCTGCTGGCGGGGGTGGGTGGTGCTCTGGGTGTCAGCGATGGTTGTTGGTGCAAGCGAGGCTGGAGGCTGGTCTGTGCCGCACAGAAACGCGGAGCTTGGCCTGCCCGGGGGCTGCTGCGGGGCCAAACCAGCGCTGCCGTCACCGACTCGCAGCTCGAGCCCCACGTCTGGCCTGGCCGTGGTGTTTCCCTTTGGCTTCAGCCCCTTTGGGAACTGTCTTCTGCTTCTGTGTAAGGGTCCCTCGGATAGCTGAGACACTTGCCGGGACACTTGTCCTGTGCTGCCTTGGCCATGGTTCGGACGTTTCAGCAGATTAAATTCCTCTCGATGGGCGAACCTCTCTGATTTTAGTTTGGAAGTTTACTTCCTTTTTCACTGCCCCAGCAAGTCCCACCAACTAAACCCATTTCTGTTGTGGAGCAGCGCTGTGGGGCTTTCTGCTGGTGACACCTCCGGTGACCGTCTGCCTCTGTCACTCTGTCCCCGTCCGGTTACTTGAACTTGGGGCCAGCTGTGGCCTTGACACCCGCTCTGGAGGTTCCCTGCTTGTGCTGACCATGGTAGGGAGGGAGGAGAGCTGCTCCAGGGGTACCTGGAGGGAGGCACCCCCGTTCCCCCAGCCCCTGGGGCTCCAGCTGTGCCCGTGGTGGCCTGTGGCTGCCCAAAGTGGCTCCTGTTTGCCCGGTGGCGGCTCTCCAGGGCTCTGTCCCCAGGTGCCCTCGCCTGGCGCGCGCGGCGGTGGCAGCAGCCCTGTGCACACACACGGCCACGTTTGGAAGTGGAGGCTTGGCTGCACTGGTCAGAAAACATTTTCTGTGCTCCCTGCTGGTGCTCGCTGGATGCTGGGAGCTGCCTCGGGCCTCGTCTGTTTTACAGGTTGCGCAGCCTGAGCCCGAGGCGTGTTTTGGGGTTTTTGAATCTGGTTAAATGCCTCGTGGCTGTTCTAACCTTGAGCCTGGTCTGTGCTGCGCTAGCCCAGCTCCTTCCCAAACAAGAGTTAAATCAAAACAGCCCAGCCGAGCACTCTGGATGCTTTTGTTTGTTAAACCACTGAAATATTTATCTGAGCTGAAGAAACAGCAACACCGGGAAGATCTGGGTCTGTTCAAAGCGGTGTTTTTCCTTCTCTGGGGGATCCGGGCGGGTGCCTGGGCTGCGGGGTCCAGGGCTGGGAGCAGCAGGCTGGCTGTTCCCTGAGCACCCAGGCTGGGGGTTGTGCCTCTGGCCAGGGCTGTGGCCAGCACAGAAATTCAGCTGGTTTTGCTGATGGGTGGTGTGACAGGTCCGGCCGGGGTGGAGCCGTCAGTGGCAGCACTTGGGAATTTCTGCTTTAGAACAAAACCCCTCTGTTGGCCTGGGGAGCTCGAGCCTTGCCAAGGAGACTCGCTGAAAGATTTCAGTCCCTAGTTTGAGGCTTTCTTCAAAGCGTTAATGCCTTTCTCTGCCATTTCCTGAGATCCCGGAGCAGACACTGGATGACGGACACATCCTGCTCCCGGAGGAATTCCCCTTTTCCTGCTCAGCAGGAACTTCACATTTTGAGGGACAAAGCTGGGGGGCGGGGGGGCAGTAACGCAAGGGCTGTCCTGGAGCCCCGGCTGGTTTCATGGCGATGGCTTTCGAATAGCTGCTTGGAAAGCAGAGCGCTTTGGTTTCATTTTGCAGTTTCTGGGCGTGCGGGAGGAGCTGCCTGCTCGGGATCGGGCCCTGCTGGCGACAGACTGGGCAGCGCCGTGCTGCAGGAGATGCCGGCACGAAGTTGCTGCTCCCTTTCGCTGTCTCTGCATCTCCAGCGAGGCACCTGAGCGCTGCTCGCACCCCAAAACTGCGATTGCTGTATGGGCCGACATGGCTGGGCAGCCTGTGCTGTAACTCGGGGCGGTTCACGCTGGCAGAGTTTAAAATCTGAATTTCTATGTCTGATGTGGGTGCCTGCGTCCTTTTGCTCATTTTGCCTGCCTGCTGTTGTAGTAAAACTGTCGTCCCCCAGTTGTGCTCACGTTTTCCACTCTCTTTTCTCTGCTCTGGCAGTGGTGCAAAGCCCGTTGCGTCGGGCTCCCCTGTCCCAGGGACTGGCCTCATCCTGCCGAGGGTCGGAGCATCCCCTGGCCGGGGAGCGGGTCTGCGAGTGCCACCGGTGTCCGGTGTCGGTGCCGGCCGGCTCGTGGGGTGAGGGCAGGGATGGGGCCAGCCCAGCTGGCCGCCGAGCCACGTACTTCTCGTAGCCCCTTGCCCCGCTCGCCTCCGCACGCCAGCTCTGGATTAGTAATGGGCTATTTCTGGATCGCTCTCATGAGTAATGGAATGAGCTGTGCTGAGATTTTGGGTGGGGACGGTGCCTCTGCCCGCTGAGTCACCGCTCGGCACCACGC